CATGAACGTTCGCACTTCCTTTGGGAATCTCCACTCTCCTCTAAAATTAGCGTTGCAGCTGTTATGCTGATGAGGTCCAGCTGCGAAGCTGATTTAAGACAACTTGATGGACTGAAACGTCATAGCTCCTTCTTTTCAGTTCACTTTTCTCTCTTATTCCCCTCCCCTTCTCTCCACCGCGTTCATTCTCACCCTACTTCTCTTGGTTCTACCATTTAATCCACAACTCTGTAAGCATTCGGCTTTGTTCCCAGTTTTTAACCTCTGTTTCCTTTACCTAAATCTGTCATTTCGAGGACACACTTGTGTTCATAGTGTCTTCTCAGGTACTAGCCAGTGATAAGTAATATCCAATAGTTGTTGGTTAGGCGAGCGAATCGGATAGCATTGCACGTTAGTTTCCATCCCGATAAGTCAATTCATATTTTAGGTGGTTATTGCGCCGGCGAGCAGTGGGGCAGTAGAACACGTAATCGTCTTCGTCAAGCCGAAGCTGCATTACTGCACGAAGCGGTTTCAGTGTGTGATGCTTTGGCACCTGCGGATTTCCTCTTACACTCCTTATTGGGCCGCAACGATGGACAGCTCTACAAACATCTTGCCGAATACCTCGGGATGAACTCTCCAAATTCGTCTGATAAACGATAAACAGTGATATGCTCCAGATAACGCCACGAATGTCTATCCAGTACGGAAGTTTCATGACTGATCAAGTTTAACTCTTGTCCAGAATTGGCATGCTTCAGCTTCTTATTGGAAAATTTCTTGCTGACGCATTATGGAAGGTCAAAAAAGGGTAAGGATTAGTTAGGAATTTCGAAGCGTAGTCAGAAATACACAGCCGCGAAAATAATAATGATGGACAGGACGTACGGCAGTGATTAGATAACGACGCGCTTCTCAATTTAAGCTTTAGTACTCTCTACATCACCAACTTCGTTACAGCGTTTCATTTATCCTTATTATTATTGCCATTATTGTCATTACTATTACTGTCATTGTCATATTCCATCATGCTGCTCAGTCAAATGGGGTACCAGCGGTTGTGGAGAATACAGCTGCATTTGAAAGTCGTTAAATCAAGATTTATTAGCATTGCAGCGTTGAGACAACAATTTTCCGCTTTTTTCAAGATTAATTCACTACATAAATTTTTGGGAGCCAAAAATCGGCAAAGAATATCGCGGAAAAATTGGAGAGGGGATTTTTACAGCACTGGGATTATCAGCGAGCAGCTAATTATTTAGCAATAAATCATGCGCGAAAGATTTAATTGTGTTTCTTCTTCCACATCACAGAATTTTGCCAGATACGGCCAACCATGGCGCAGAGTTTTCAGCTGTCGTCTACACTGCCCCCCTTTCGGTGATCTGCAACCATTTCTTTACTGAACATAAAAGATTTTTTAGCCACAACATCCAAAATCCTTTTTGCATTCACTCTCTGTGAAAGGCGGAGGCACTCGGGAAGTAACAGTAAGAAGTATCAGTTGATAATTAATGAACAAGTACTGGCAGTAATGGAGATGTAAAAGAAAAATGCAGATGAAAGAAAAATCTGAAAAGTTAAGCCAAAACCCTTTCCGTATATGCCCTGTATGAGAGTCGAAAGCACTGGACTGAGACAACTGCTAAAACTCAGCTCTCCCGGCCACGCAGTAAGCACTCATTTTGGGTGCGGTTTCCAGCCGCGAAAGTTATGATACGGGTTTTTCGCCTAGATAAATTTCTAGTCTTCATGCTCAAGACTACTAACTTCTTAACATCAAGTTTTAGACTGACCATGCAAACCCATAAGAACCGTACCCCATAAACCCGGCCCCTTTCACCGCCAAGACCCCCCAAGTCATTACTTTCGCCTGCACTCGTCTCCCAGCTTGGACGAGCTGAGTCCAGCCAAGCCCAATCGAGTTAAATTTAAGTGGTTGCTCGAATGATAGCAGCAAATGCCAATAGCAATCAACCGCCGGCAAGGCTGTTGGATGGTTCTCTCTTATGATGGTTGCTTACAAACAGTCTGACGGCAGACTTGACGACTCCCTGACATGTGACATTATCAAAACACCTCCGAAATATTCGAAGCAACTTACTGCTATTAATGAAGCAATGCACGACGCATCTCACGCAAACCCACCGAGTGAAAGCGGATTGTGTACGTGTGTTCTTATTGACCACTTCACCGTAATAAATTTGCAATTAAAAATTTACACAAAGGCTGGAACGCACCAGGCGCGCCGGTGCGATCATGCGTTTTTGCATCAAAACTAAAGTAAA